AAGTTGTCTTGTTTAGGAACCCACCAAACCCTAAGGCTCTTGTCAAGTCCTCCACTGTAAAGCATGAATCCAGCACCAACATTGTTAGGAGAAGCCTGCAAACATTTGACCGGACCTTCATGACCTTGTATAGCTCCGAATTTACAGAGCATGCCACTCTCTTCTCTCTTCCACAATCCAATGCTCTTATCAGCTGATCCACTACAAACCATTTCACCAACCACACACATACACAAAACTGCCATTTTATGTCCTCTCATCTCAAACCCTAATCTCCATTCCTCAAAGTCTCCTCCTTTCTCTTTCTTCTCCCAACCCATCACATACCCATCTGATCCTCCTCCGTATACCCATTTTCCATCGCCGGAAACCACCACGGAGTTCACTGAAACCTCCGCACGACCTTCCAATGTCGCTTTCAAAACATGTAAACAAGAAGAACCAATCTGCTTACTCTTCTCTCTTCCCCAAATCTTGATCTTCCCATCTGCAGAAGCAGAGTATACTCTGCCTTCTCCAGCGACTAAACCATTGATTGCATCGTCGTGAGCTTTGATCGACTCAAGACACTTGAGATCAGACAGTCTCCAAACTTTAAGAGTCTTGTCCCATGATCCAGAGTAGATGATCCCAGAGTGAACCGCAAGGCAAGAAATACTATCCGCGTGTTCGATCCAGAGTCGCTTATGGTTCCTCCTCGTTTGAACGTAATTGCTCTGTTTCATAAACTTCCCTAAATAGTCTTTTGTCGTCGGAAGCGTATCGACAAGCCTGAAAGCATTCTCAGAGCTTCTCCGAGATACTTTCCAAACTCTGATTCTACTGTCTTGATGAGCAGTGAACACTTTGCTTCCCACGCTTACCAAAGCTTTAATGGATCCGTCTCCTTGTCCGAATTTCGCAAAGATCTTGAGATCGGGTTGTTGCCAGACGATGATGTCTTTTCCCTGAGACGCACTTAGCAAGAACTCGCCGCAGAGTGCTAAAGAAGAGACGGATCCGACGTGTGCGGTGAGGACGGCGAGTGGTTTGTACGCTCCGGTGATCGGAGAGGGAGGGAGAGTGAGAAGGACGAAGCTTTTGGAGGAAGAGGATGGGCTTAGAGAATCGTCGGAGGAGGAGTCGGTGCTGGTGGAGGAAGAAGATGAAGACATCAAGACTCCTTCTTGGATTGATTTCGCCATTGAATCAAGATACTTAAAGACACTGTTTTTTTTTTTTTTGGTGCACAGAAGAGAAATTTTTTTTGGAGCGTTTGAGGAAATGAAGAAAGAGTATTTAAAAAGGGTTAAAAGGTAATGGGAAGGTGCAACGGCTACATTTGACAGATGGCATAGCCTTCTCTTTTTGCCTTTTGTTTATCATTACGCATTCTTTTGTAAAGAATAAAAATAACTTAAATAAGTTTTGTTATTAATTTGTAATATTGGCTAATGGAACCTTATAATATAGTATGTAAAACCAATAAGGACGGCTTGAAATTAAAGCGAGTATAATTTTTTATAATAACCGATTTGATCATTGGTCTCTTGTTTGGCCAGTAATATGAAGTGGGAGTTATAGCTGATAATGTTGATACTGTAACGTTAAGGATTATGATAATTAAGATACAATATTATATGTACCTTTTTTTTTTATATTGTATATCAAAATTAGTTACGAACTTACGACTAACTAAGTTGCTTGTAATTAGCAGATATCGTACTTGTTTATTACGAGTTGTTAGCACCATTGCATATTATAATTATTACGAGTTTATTCTCAACTAATATTCCCAAGACTATATATTTAGGATTATAATATAATTGTTTATAGATTGGTAGATGGGACCAATGGATTTTTTTTTATTTGGACAAAAAACGATTATATTAAACTTAGCTTGGGGTTACAACTAAGGAATAATTGGCTCAATAACTAAAAAAAAAAATCTAAATAAGTAATCAAATAGCCTAAATCTAATGATTATTATTTGGCCACATGAGATAATTTTGGTTATTTAATTAGATATAATTTTTTTTTAAAGGAAATTTGCTAAATTGATTCAGTTTGAATTAATGTTTTGTAAATTAACCTTCTACCTATGATTTTTTGTCTCAATAACCTTTGCTATTTTCATATCCCAATTTTAACCTTCAAATTGAATAAAAATATTTTTTTTACAATATTTTCAGAATATATATTTGCTTTTACGAAATTGAAAGAGAAAAAGAATATTCATTTTCGGAAATTTACTTTTTAACATACA